TATATATATATATATAAAACTTTGTAAACTTTGTTTAGCATCACTTACATATATGTGATAGTGCTGTGACATAAAGGGCAAGCATTTATATTAACTACGTCGCGTACGTGATGTCCTATATATATATATATCGATGAAAACTTTGTTTAGCATCACTTACATATATGTGATAGTGCTGTGACATAAAGGGCAAGCATTTATATTAACTACGTCGCGTTCCGTTGCAACGTGATGTCTGCAAACAGTGCAGATCCACGCGATGCTGAGATCCATCAGCGGTTTGCCCGAGACAATGCAAGCCGGGAACCTGGTCGAGCAATTAGGACACATGATGCACCAATCGGGTACCAGGGTCTCGCAGTTGACGCATTCCGCTTTGTTATTGCGGGAGTCTTTCGGAGTGTGCTTCGTGAAGATGTTCACCGCCAGTTCTTCGTACTCTTGTTTTTTCGCTTCCGAGATCGTCTCAAGTCCTTCCAATTTGATAAAGGCCTTCGAGCAGGTAGTAAACGCGTGGTTAACGGCGCTTGATAGTGCCAATAGACAATAAATGTCTTCTACTTCTAGAATATCCTCATAATCTCTCAATCGTAGAGCCGTCTTCATCGCAGCGTCGAAACTACCATCGTATAACTGTCTGTGCGCCAACAAAAGGAAGTGATACGCCTCGGCACCTCGCCAGGCGTTTTCTATGATTTTAGTATCCTCATTGCTTTCAGTAAGACCCATAACGATGTTGCTGCGACCACCTTTTATCGCCGGAACGCTGTTGATATGATCCTCGATCAGCAATGCTGCGAGAACGTATATCTTTTTGACGCGCAAAGGATGCGATTTGGACTTGGCTTGCTCCTCGGCAAGACGAAACAATAATTTAGCCGCTTCCAAATTGTAATTGGCTTTTTTGTATAGCTCGATCGCCTGCAGACGTTTACCATTCGATAATAAATGATTGGCGTATTTGTTTAGCAATTCACCGATTTGCGCCATCTTATAAGTTTTTGCCAGATCAACGGCTTGATCCCAGTGATTCAGACGCACACATGTATCCACGGCAAGTTTCACATCGCCATATTTGATATAGGCTGCCACTGCTTGCGAACTCATCCCCACTGAAGCCAGCATTCTTGCTACGGTTTTCAGGATAGGACTCTTGTCTGGTAACTGGTCTACTGTTGCTGCTAGTTGATGGAAATCCTCCAATTTGTAATAGCATTGAATGAGCTTCTCCAGGTTTCTGCCCTTTTCGTAGTATTCCTTCGCGCTCTCCCAATTTTGTCTTTCGGCGAAATGGTCTGCGATCTTGTTAAACGCGTGCTCCATCTGCTTGTCCGAACCTCCGATGCCCATCTTCATCAGCTGCACAACCCGGAAGTAGTCACCTAGTTTTTGGCGCAACGCGATTGCCAAGTCTCTTCTGTCTATGTCCAAATACAGCTTCTCGGCCTCGTCATAATTACCAAGAAAAGCTGCTACTTCGGCTTTCTTCAGCTGGTCGTTATGCACATTTTGTAGACGTTTGATAAACTGTATGCCTAGATAATCTGTGCATCGTACCATGGCATTTTCTGCCGTTTCTAAATCAAGTTTCGTCAACGCGGATTCGGCTAGTAAACGCCACAGACGTGGATGTGGATTGTCTTGGATGAAATTGTTGGCCTCCTTCAGACCCACCTTGGCCAGCAATTCTCTCGTGTCTCTAAGGGATTTTACTTCTAAATCGACGATCAATTCTTTTTGCGTCTCGTCGGGTTTCAGCATGAGATCGTCTAGTAAAACGCAACGTATCTCCAAATCTTGGAATGCACAAATATATCCGGAACAGGCTATAGGTTCTTCGGGGTCCAGCCCTCTCAGAACGTACATTCTGGTCTTCTCCATAATCGCCAAGAGTGCAGGATTGTCCTGCGCCCAATGCATGTCCCATACGTCTTTTCTCTCAAACTTGGCTATATCTTCGCTCGTATCTCCGTCTCGCGAATTGGGCATTTTTTGCAGATCCAGATCCAACATGGTGAGAATACCGTTAGCATCCATGATGGAGACACGCGTGGAGTTGCAATTAATGGCGATTCTGTGCAATTTACGCGCCGTGTTGTATCTGTTCATGAGCGTAATTTGCGGCAGGGAATATCGTTGGATCATCCCCGATTCTCTGCCAACTAGAAGAACTTTCTCAGTGGCGTAAATACAACAGATTGGGTCCATGCTAGCCTTCGTGCTGATAGGAGTCTCGAATGTACCATCCTTGTCTAAATCCTGAATAACTTCTGTCACGCCGGTCGGCGTTTCGTCTACATGATAGATCTTGTATTTGCGCATCCTGCTGGGATGTAACGTTGAATTACGAGGCGTGCGAAAATGCCATACCAGGAAATTATTTTTGGACGCAGCCATGACCATGTTAGCGGTCATAGTGAGATGTAACGGCTCTAGATCCATGAATTTGGAGTCTATCGGTGTGGCGATAGTGTTACAAACGAGCAGAGCGAATTGTTCGGTGGCTTGAGTAGGATCGTTTCTCACAGAGAGTACACAATGTTCCCCGTGCGAGGCTATCGATATCAAGGATCGCACATACTTGGTGCAACATGTATTGTTACTCATATTCCAGAAAGTCACACAGATGCCATCCTTACTGATCTTCTCGTTTGTAAAGACAACTGTGTTACTAAAATAAGTCCATTTGTAGTCTAGACGAATATTTGCAAAATATATGTGCGAATCGACAGATAAGGCGACTCTAAGGGAAGCTTTCTCCCATGTGCAACACGTCACTTCTTTGCCTGGTATCTTCAGGGTCCTCACATGCTCGCCAAACAATGTATAAAACTGTATAACATTCATGTCTTTTGTCTCTCCATTACTGAGTAAAGGCATCATGCCTGTTACTGCCAAAAGGGATCCACAACTGTTCCAATTGCACCATGAAGCAGTCACTCCAGTTTCCATCATAATCGGATTATCGTCACTGGTATCTCGCATTAATTGTATCATACCATTGCGATAGCAAATAGCAAGAGTAGGGCAATCTATGGCAACATAACCATTTTTTCCATCGTACCATTGTAATGCCACTATGATCTGAAACTGAGAAGTATTTAATGAGGGTACACTTAATTTTGTTAGGAATACACCTTGATTATTGTAGAGATGAAGTTCCCCGTTTTTTAAACCAAATAGAAGCAATTTTCCATCCGGAGACCATTGTACAGCAGACAAAGATACATTCTTCAGTTCTTTACCCCAGATCCTGTTACCATCAACAGAACCAACAATCACCGCTCCATCTTCATAGACTATACATATCTTTTGACCATCGCAGCTCCATGCCATTCCTGTTACTACAGACTTGTTGCGATTGTTTATCATTTCTTCATACCACGACCCTTTATACAACATCCAAACAATTATAACTCCATTTTGATCACTAGAGGTCAGCTTCTGATGCTCTTCGTTCCATGTGACCACTTGAACATGACCATTATGGCCTTCTAGAGGCTGATTCATGCTCAAATTACTCGCTGCAGCTAAGCCTCGAGATTTCCCTCCACTGTGCGATCCATTGACATTGGAATCTACTCGTAATACCTTCAAGAGACCATCTTCTCCTCCCACAGCAATGTATCCATCTTTTTGATTCCATGCTATGCAGTTTAATCGAAAGTTGTTTGGTATGGAAATTTTCTTACTCAAATATACAAACATTGCTAGTTTATGTCAGTGTCTTTAATGAGTCAGTGACAATTTTTCACAGAATTTGACACATTGAGCTCTGCAATCATTATATCTAACTTATAATAAATAGTAGATTTTATTTTTCTCTTAATAATTGTGTTAATTTTATAAATATTTTGTAATAAAATGTAAATGTAATGATTTATAAGCGAAAGTTAATAAGAATAAAAATATAAAAAAATAAGATTTCAGGGTAATTTATTTACATTGTTATAAAAGAAGTTTCATACTTTATTACGGAAAGTAATATCCGAAATAAACTGTCAAAGTTATATATGTTTGACACAATATCCGTCAAGTTTTCCTTAGCAACGAAGACAATGTACATAGAAACGCATAAACCATATCCATAGACATAGAACAGACCAAGAACGGACTCCTATAGCGGGATTCTCTAATGTCTTAACGATAATTATCGTTGTCGTTAAGCCCGTATCAGACTACGCATTGAAAATTGAAGATTGAAGATTAAAGACTGAAATTTGACTAATCAGAACAAAAGAGACTAAAATTTCTTTGTCTTGATTGGTCGAATTTCAATCTTCGATCTTCAATCTTAATCTTCAATGCGTAGTCTGATACGGGCTTTA